ACTGAATACCACTTCTAAAACTCCAGAACCTTCTCAATTGTTTGGATTCAACAAGACCATACATATTTATTAAGAGTCTGTTACGTGTTTGAAGTCTCCTAAGAGTATCTTTACAGCCTCCAGGGAGATGTGCCCAGTCATTCTGGAAAAAACAGTATATTGGCATAGAATGCAAAAAGGCATATTCAGCAAAGGTGAATGAAAAGAAATAAGAATGGTTAAACAAAATCCTGAAGGAGGCAGGGAAAAGCTTGCAAATAATCATCTAAGCTGAAAGGGGGCCACAAAGCATACTGCATGGGGGTGAGGTGGTAGGGTCAAAGGTGTGGGGTGCAGGTTACTAGGGTCCCTTCCCTCCAAGAAAGGAGGTGATATAAGGAAACCCTAGGGCTGAGCCCAGTTACTCTCTTAGAGCACCCAGCCCCCCCCACCCGGGGGAGGGAGTAGGGGAACTTGACTGAAGCACAGATCAAGATGAGATCCGGCCCAGCAGAAGAATTAGGAGGGGCTGCTGTGGACTAAATAGATACTCACAAGGATCCCTTCAGCACTGACATTCTGCTCTGGATTTAAGGAGCTGAGATGGGGGAGGAAAAAAAAATTCAAAGAGACAGGTGTTGTGCAGTGCTGGGGGGTGGAGAGTGTCTGCCATTATCAGAGAGAAAGGAAACAAATGTGGCTTAATTATAATGACAGGATGACAGCAATGACATTATGAGGAGAGAACAGGAAAAGCACAAAGACCATATTAAGAAAATGGGAACTGTCACGTCACCATCAAATTCTCCCTGGAGAGTATCCCCCAGACAGGGTCATGTCCCTAACCTGAGAAGGATACCTCCAGATAAAGGGACTCTCCCCCACCCCCAGCAACCCCTCCCTCTTGGAGGGGGTCCCTCAAAGGCCCCGGCAAGGCTCAGCCCACAGGGGAGGCTCCACTTCCAGGCCTTAGTCACTGGCCGGTGGGCAGCAGGGCCACCGTCTCTGTCATACTCACAGCCCCGACCACCACTAGACCACTGACTCCTGGCAGTGACACCCACAGGTCCAGTCTCCGACCCTCAGAGTCCATCAAGGGAGGCACTCAGTATGTGCCTGCTGAGTGGGGGCATCCTCTCCCAGGTGACACACTGAGGGCCAGAGTGGCCCTGTGTTTCTCTCAGCATCACCAACACACAGGTGGACCAGGTGTGCAAAAGAGGGAATCTACCCATCACACCTCAGGGTGAGCCCTTGCTGGAGATCACCAAAGACCCAGGCGAGGATGGCAGGAGGGTCAGGGCAGGGCTGGCTTGCCCCCAACCCAGGTCAAGACCCCAGAGTGGAGGCATTTGGAGATACCATAGATCATCTACACCCAGAGATGATCACAAATGCTCATTTTAGCCAAGTCTTCACCTCTTCCTACTGTTTTCTTTTTTTAAATCAGAAATGAGAAAGGTGGGCAAGCTTGAAAATATTTAGTTTTCCAGCTTCCTGGCATCCTCTGGGGAATTAGCCAAGTTATAATAAGATATTCAGTAACAGAGCACAGAGAGGAGAAGCAAGAGAGGCTTCTGGATAATCTATAATATGGTTAATACAGGGCAACAGAATAGTCAAGAAATACTATTACTAATGCATGTAAAATTCGATGCAAAGAGGAGAAAATCACAATGTTACCGGTACCTCAAAGTCCATTGGCTTTGTGTCTCTCTACTTTCCTCGAGGAATGCTGGCCTGACTGCCGGAGGGACGGGGAGGGAGAGGCACTGACCCCTTGGCACAAATGCAGACTGCGGTCAGTGCTCTCTGTTGCCCGAGATCCTACTTCTGGGGTTATCCAATCCCGGGAACCATGCAGTAAGGATGCAAGCGTGCACATGTGCATACAGGCAAAGCAAGATAAAAGAGAACCCCATAAGTCTAATAAGACATCAGCAGCCTGTCCTGAACAAAGGTTCGGAATGTGAGTTTACAAGGATAATTACCACCACATTACACAGAGTGCAATAACTCTGTTGTTAGCACCACAATTTGTCTGATGTCACATGAAAAGGGGAAGAGCTGTAACTGTAAGTGACAGGTGGCTGAAAAAATGGTTGGTTTCTGAAGCACCTGGTCCCCTGAGTCTGTACCGTCATCTTGTTCTTAAAACAACAATAGGCAAGAGTACAAACACTTTCCACTGCAGAAACTGCCAGTTTGTTCAAATTTATGGAGAGAATTTTCAAAGTGTGAGTGTGCCAGTGAGGGCAGGCTGCTGGAGTCTGTGTTCTCAGCCCACACCACCACAGGTGGGCACCGTGGGGAGAGCAGGGCTTGTGATTCAGGGAGTTCTGGACACGAATCCTGTCTGCTCTGCTTACCAGCCCTGTATTCTGGGGAAAGCAGTTAACTTCTCTGAGCTTCCATTTCCTTGTAAGATGGACTTAATAATCTCTAAGGCATAGAGTTGTTACGAACAGTAGCTGTATGTAGAGTACTTATCACAGCACCTGGCAAATAGCAAGTGATCAGGGAATGGGGTGACAGTTAAACTGACTTGCCTACCTAAATATCATACTTTGCTGCATAATGCAGAGGTGACTGCCTGCCTATTACACTTTTTTAAAAATAGAAATGGAAACATCACAAAGCTCTGAGAAGCTGGGGAGAGAAAAGAGGTGATACTCTTTTCTTGTTTGGGTTTTCCTTAGAGAGTACAGCCAGGAATTTACACTCTCCAGAGGAGAATGGTTTTGGAAAAACAGCTTATCCTCATATGCCACCAGAGCTGTTTTCTTTCTTTTCTTTTCTTCCAGGTAAAAAGCTGCAAGGAAGCCTCCTCATATTTGAAAGCCTTTGGGGAGCTCATGAAATGGAGCCCATTTCCTAACTGATCACCCATAGCAAATTTTCTGTAGTGCATATAATGAAGCATTTCGACTGACAGGGCGTCTCATCTTGCCCTCTAAGAGACAGAAATTGTGCATGGTGCATCTGGTTGTTTACTGCTGCCCCAAGGCTCACAAAATGCTGCAAGCACAGCCTAGAAAACTGGAGATGTTAAGGCTGAAATAGTTCTAGAAAAGCAAAGGTCTTAAATCCTTTTACATGACATGAGAAAGCACCTCAAGTTCTAATTAAGCTAAAGCAATTAGCCACCCACAGATCCTTAACGCTGCTTCCCATGGTCAGGCAATCATCTCTATTAAAACCCATTTTAAAGGAGCAGACCCAAAAGCTCCACTGGCACACACTTCCCACAAATCAATTATGCCTTAGACACACTGAGTAAACACTCAGAGGCAAGCTCTGGGCCTGGAAGAGGGGGCTTTTAGGAAAAGATGGCATCAGACCTGACGAGGTAATTGCAAAAAAGGAGGTGGCAAGCAGCAAATGGGACACTTGGTGGTAACAAAATCCACTTGCAGAGGGGGACACTGGGTCACAGATGGGCTGGACAAAGCAAAACCAACTGAAGCCTCAGTTTCCCTGGCCTTAGAATTCCCTGGTTGGTGTAACAAGGCATCAACACCACCCTGAAGGAGCACATCAAGCAGAAGGGTTTCTGCCTGCGCGTGACCAGACTACCGTCCAAACTGATGCTGCACAGGACTGTCCTCTCCCACGTCACCATGTGTCATGGAAGCACCAACAGGGTGCATCTGGCAGGTTCACAGTGAGTGCAATCCACTCAAGTCCATGTGCTTTCCCCAGTCCAGTTAGGTCTAGTCAGTACTGCCTAAGTCTTCCTTTAGTGAGGGGAGTTCATTGTTGTTTCCAGCCCAAGGCTGTTTCCAGACTTGGCAATAGCAACAGCGACACAATGGTCAATGGTTAAGTGTTTGAAAATTAAGTACAGCCATCCCTCTGTCCACAGGGAATTGGTTCCAGGACGAACAGGTTTGCAGATACCAAAACCCACAGATATTTAAGTCCCTTACATAAAATGGCATAGTATTTGCATATAACCTATACACATCGTCCCATATACTTTAAATGATCTCTAGATTACTTTTAATACCTAATGCAATGTAAATGCTATGTAAATAGTTGTAAATACAATGTAAATGCTATGCAAACAGCTGCCATCATGCCACAAATTCAAGTTTTTGGAACTTTCTGAAATTTTCTTTTTAATATTTTCAATCCCTGGTTGGTTACATCTGGGGATGCAGAATCCATGCATACAGAGGACCAACTGTGCCTTCCTCAAGAACTAGGATTGTTTCTGTTTTTCAGTCCAGTCAAGTTAATCCAAAAACCCATTACTTCTCAACTGAACAAGAGACATTTTTCTTTCCTGTAGATTTTTTTTTTTCTTTTGGATTTAGAAAATTTCTCAATCATCAAGCAGACATCAAAAATGCTGATCTAGATAAGCACTGTCCAACAGATATAAGATTTAAAATTTTCCTAGGAGCCACATTAAAAAAAGCAAAAAGATATATGAAACTGTTGTGTTAGAGTATTTTACTTAACCCACTCTAACAAAAATATTACTGTATAATCAATACAAAAGATTATTAGTGAGATATTTCAGATTTTGTTTTCATACTTTCTTCTTCTAGTACCATATTGGACGGTGCAGATCTAGAGCTATCTTTAAATTGACATGGAAAGGCTTCCACAATTCACTGCTCTATGAACAAGGAGTTTACCAAGATGTATAGCATGATCTCATTTTAACTATAAAAATCTGTTTCTGTGTGTTCAGATATGGATAGACAATAATCTGTAACACCAAAAGGTGATAGCAGTTATCTCTAAGAAGTAGAATTATATATGGTTGGTCATTATTTTCTACTTTGTGCTCTTTTGTATTTTCTAAATTTCTTTGCAGTAAACATGTACTGCTTAAATTATCAGGAAAACTATAAAGCTAGCCTTTAAAAAAAAAAAAAATCTCTCCCTTATTTTAAGCTATACCACCCTGATCCTGCTGGCACTGTAGCCATTATCCTATTTCCAGCTAACAGAAAGGATGGACAAACATAACATCCCCTGCCCCTTGCGCCAGCCACTGGCATACTTACAGCCAATCATCATGATGGCCACTGCAAAGATCTTCTCGATGTCTGTGGATGGGGCGATGTTCCCAAAGCCCACGCTGGTGAGGCTGGTCATGGTGAAATACAACGAGGAGATGTACACGGAATTCTTGCTGGGGCCCCCTTCCCATTTCCCTGAGCCTGACCCGTTAAACTGGTAAGGGGTGCCAATGTCCATTGCCAGCTGGTAGAGCCAGCTGTTGTTGCGGATGGTCTTCGTGTCCTCATCAAAGATCTCATAGTCCCCAATGCTGTACCAAATGCAGGCCATCCAGTGAGCAGCCAGCCCGAACACACACACCAGCAGGACCAGCACGGCTGCTCCATATTCAATGTAGTGGTCCAGCTTCCGGGCCACTCGCCCCAGACGGAGCAGCCGAACAACCTTCAGAGAGCTGAACAGGCTGCTGATGCCCTGGAAGAAGAGGAGCACAGGGTCAGAGCCAAGAAACCATGATACTAACAACTCCTTCCCTCCACTCACCAGGGCTGGTCTTTCAGCACAGTGCATTCCCTGAGATGCAATATAAGGCAACCTTTAAAACATTGTTTCAAAGTAAGTCATAATATGGAGAAATGCTCATATATATTTGTATACTTATGCACAATATAATTAGAAGTTTTTCCAAGGTATATGGAAGGGAGATTTCCATTAGCTTTTTTCGTTTTGTACTTCCTTTAAAAAGCAAATAAAAAAATAAGACAAATAAAATTGGAATTTTATTCTAATTATACTGTGTGTAAGTATACAAATACATACGAGCATTCTTCCATATCATTGCTCATTTTAAAATAATATTAAGCCCTCCAGAAAGTAGGCATAGAGGGAACTTTCCTCAACATAATAAAGGCCATATATGACAAACCCACAGCCACATCATCCTCAATGATGAAAAACTGAAACCATTTCCACTAAGGCCAGGAACAAGACAAGGTTGCCCACTCTCACCACTCTTATTCGACATAGTTTTGGAAGTTTTAGCCACAGCAATCAGAGAAGAAAAAGAAATAAAAGGAATCCGAATCAGAAAAGAAGAAGTAAAGCTGTCACTGTTTGTAGATGACACGATACTATACATAGAGAATCCTAAAGATGCTACCAGAAAACTTCTAGAGCTAATCAATGAATTTGGTAAAGTAGCAGGATGCAAAATTAATGCACAGAAATCTCTAGGATTACTATACACTAATGATGAAAAATCGAAAGTGAAATTAAGGAAACACTCCCATTTACCATTGCAACAAAAAGAATAAAATATCTAGGAATAAACCTACCTAGGGAGACAAAAGGCCTGTATGCAGAAAATTATAAGACACTGATGAAAGAAATTAAAGACAATACAAATAAATGGAGAGATATACCATGTCCTTAGATTGGAAGAATCAACATTGTGAAAATGACTCTATTACCCAAAGCAATCTACAGATTCAATGCAATCCCTATCAAACTACCACTGGCACTTTTCACAGAACTAGAACAAAAAAATTTCACAATGTGTATGGAAACACGAAACACCCCGAATAGCCAAAGCAATCTTGAGAAAGAAAACCGGAGCTGGAGGAATCAGGCTCCCTGACTTCAGACTATACTACAAAGCTACAGTAATCAAGATAGTATGGTACTGGCACATAAACAGAAATATAGATCAATGAAACAGGATAGAAAGTCCAGAGATACACCCACGCACCTATGGTCACCTTATCTTTGATAAAGGAGGCAAGAATATACAGTGGATAAAAGACAGCCTCTTCAATAAGTGGTGCTGGGAAAACTGGACAGCTACATATAAAAGAATGAAATTAGAATACTCCCTAACACCATACATAAAAATAAACTCAAAATGGATTAAAGACCTAAATGTAAGGCCAGACACCATCAAATTCTTAGAGGAAAACAAAGGCAGAACACTCTATGACATAAATCACAGTAAGATCCTTTCTGACCCACCTCCTAGAGAAATGGAAATAAAATCAAAAATAAACAAATGGGACCTAATGAAACTTCAAAGCTTTTGCATAGCAAAGAAAACCATAACCAAGACGAAAAGACAACCCTCAGAATGGGAGAAAATATTTGCAAATGAAGCAACTGACAGAGGATTAATCTCCAAAATTTACAAGCAGCTCATGCAGCTCAATATTAAAAAAACAAACAACCCAATCCAAAAATGGGCAGAAGACCTAAATAGATATTTCTCCAAAGAATATATACAGATTGCCAACAGACACATGAAAGAATGCTCAACATCAATAATCATTAGAGAAATGCAAATCAAAACTACAATGAGATATCATCTCACACCAGTCAGAATGGCCATCATCAAAAAATCTAGAAACAATAAGTGCTGGAGAGGGTGTGGAGAAAAGGGAACCCTCTTGCACTGTTGCTGGGAATGTAAATTGATACAGCCACTATGCAGAACAGTATGGACGTTCCTTAAAAAATTAAAAACAGAACTATCATACGACCCAGCAATCCCACTACTGGGCATATACCCTGAGAAAACCAGAATTCAAAAAGAGTCATGTACCAAAATGTTCACTGCAGCTCTATTTACAATAGCCAGGACATGGAAGCAACCTAAGTGTCCATCAACAGATGAATGGATAAAGAAGATGTGGCACATATATACAATGGAATATTACTCAGCCATAAAAAGGAATGAAACTGAGGTATTCGTAGTGATGTGGATGGACCTAGAGACTGTCATACAGAGTGAGGTAAGTCAGAAAGAGTAAAACAAACACCGTATGCTAACACATATATATGGAACCAAAAAAAAAAAAAAAAAAGATGAAAAAATGGTCATGAAGAACCTAGGGGCAAGACGGGAATAAAGATGCAGACCTACTAGAGAATGGACTTGAGGATACGGGGAGGGGGACGGGTAAGCTGGGACAAAGTGAGAGAGTGGCATGGACATATATACACTACTAAACGTAAAATAGATATCTAGTAGGAAGCAGCCGCATAGCACAGGGAGATCAGCTCAGTGCTTTGTGACCGCCTAGAGGGGTGGGATAGGGCGGGTGGGAGGGAGGGAGATGCAAGAGGCAGGAGATATGGGGATATATGTATATATATAGCTGATTCAGTTTGTTATAAAGCAGAAACTAACACACCATTGTAAAGCAATTATACTCCAATAAAGATGTTAAAAATAAATAAATAATATAATATTAAGGGTTGTGTAACATTTCATATTAAGTAATGAAATATTTTAAGAGTTGCATATTTATTTCATATGGTATATTTCACTCTAATTATATTGTGCATACATATACAAATATTTACGTGTTGAAAAACAGGAAACACACATGGAAAAACATAAAACTTTAACAGTGGTTACTGCTGCACTGTCAAGTTATGGAATTACAGGCAACTTTTGTTATATTTGCATATATTTTTGTTACGCTTATATATATTTACTTTACAATGACAGAAAAATAGTTTTTAAGATAAAAATAAAGAAACAGCTGAGAAGAATAAAGAACTGAGATTCTGTTTTCTCAGGAAAGTTACAAATTCTTGGAAGGCTACATCACTTCCCTCAGGCCAGGGATACAATCAGACACAATGTACTTAATCACAGTCAATCAAAGAATCTCAGAGCCAGAAGAAGCCTGATTTCACCTGGTCAAGCCTCCTCCTTCCAGTCCCACCGGGACAGGCCTATTCTCCGAATAGTAGTTCTCTAGGGAATAGCACTGTGGTAGGGGCAGGAATACCCATGTAGAAATCTGTAAAATGGGGTCTGACGCCCAGGTAAGCCGCTAACTTCCTATGTGAATGTGGACAATGCAGCTACCTCTTAGTTCCCTTGTCTAGACAAGGTGGGAGGTGGACTGGAAGAGCTCTACATCTTCTCCAAATGCTCATGTACTTTTATCTCCAAAGGGACCTGAAACATAGTATAGAAGCTGTACATTCAAAACCTCAAAACTCCTATTCCAAAGTGATTCCAAGGTGTAGGGAAAGGAGATTTCCATTAAACTTTTCCTACTTCTATTAAAAAGCAAACAAACAAGCAAATGGCACAAAGACATTTCTTTGAACTAAGACTTTGGTCTCCCTTATGTAGCAAAACTCCAGCAGCAGAATGATGCCCTTCACCAGGTAGAACGAATGACTTTTCACTATCCTAAGGACTGGACAGTTTCCAGGTCACTGCTATTCTCTTTTGTACTCCATACCCTTAATTACAACCCCCAAGGGTTAGGATACGTCACAGACAGAAGGAAAACATGTAAATGCTTTCTAGTGAGTCTGTGTCAGAGGCTCACCAAGGCTGCTTTCTTCTCCTGGGCACATAGCTAACCACATTTCCCATCCTCTTTCCATCTGGGTGGGTCTCTGGAACTAGTTCTGGCCAGTGGAATGTGAGGTGAAATGAGTGTCACTTGCAAGCCAAGACAGCTAAAAGTTGAGTGTGCTTTCTCTACAAGCTTTTTCTTTCCCCTGGCATGTGTTCCTTGAGGCCAAGTACTGAAGATGGTGGATGTACAGCATGGAAGGAGTGTGGGTACCTGGAAGACTATGTGGAACACCCCCTCCCCCCCCAGAATCATCTTGAAACCTATTGTGATGTCAATAAAAAAAAAGGAACCTCTGAAGTAAGCCACTGAAACTTTGGGGGATATTTGTTACAGCAGCTATCATTAGCTGTCTCTGACAAATGAACACACAAATCATATGGAGCATAGCCTTGGCAATAAAAACCACAGATCAGGTTACCACAAATTATTTCACTGAGGTAGAGGTGAAGGAGGTAGGATTTATTGCCCTTTAAAAAAAGAACAAACAAACGGAGACTTCCCTAGTGGCACAGTGATTAAGAATCCGCCTGCAGGCTTCCTTGGTGGTGCAGTGGTTGAGAGTCCACCTGCTGATGCAGGGGACACGGGTTCGTGCCCCAGTCTGGGAAGATCCCACGTGCCACAGAGCGGCTGGGCCCGTGAGCCATGGCCACTGAGCCTGCACGTCCGGAGCCTGTGCTCTGCAATGGAAGAGGCCACAACAGTGAGAGGCCCGCGTACTGCTAA